TTGAATGAAGTTGGAAATTTTTAGGAAATCTTGTTGGTGTGGCGGAACTATGCAACAAAATCGGGAAGCCAGCTTTCACGAAGCACGATGAGCAGATCGCGATGACTTTTGCTGTTTACTGTGCTATAAGCATATCACATGTAAGCTTTTTTAGTGCTTTCATTGTTTCGTCTGCTGCTCCTCTTCCCCTCTCTCTTCTCGTTTTCGCCCTTTCCCCCGCCTGTCCGTTCCTCCAAATATCAAAGTAAAATGACCAAACTACATAGTTTTAGCAACGCACAGCTGAGCTCTACTACAGTGGCTGAATTCGGAGCACATCATCATGCCTGAATCCGGGAGGAGTCGCTTATGAGTAGCCAGAACTGGCTTAAAATTTCCCGGTGAGAAAAGAGGTTGGAATAAGCATATCACTCTCCTACAGAACAGCGTTGCAGATGAGAATGGGGAAAGAAGCCCGGGGAGGGGAAGAGGTGCTCTGGACGTCCAGTCCATTCATCTTATAATAGTAGTAGCAGCAGTAATGTTGCATCGATAAACTATGCATTTCTCAAATATCGATTATAAACAACGACAAGCTTATGCTGCAGCTCGCAGCTGTCTCAATTAAACACTTGCTCGCGCTCGGATCCGTTCATTAGTTGTGTTTAATTCGCTGAATTGCTTTAATTTATTGGCAGTTAATTATCCTCAGCATCGTCATCATTATTATTATTATTATTACTATTACTATTATTAATATCATTAATTCCACCATCACTATTATCGCCACCACCATCATCATCTTGTTGGGATGTGCTTGCAGTGCCTGCTGTATCGAAAGCTGCAGGAAGCGCATCGACGATCGCATTTGGCTGCCGAGCTACTGGTACAGGGCTCCACCGTCTCCGTAAGTTCTCGTTTCATGGTCAGCCATTGGCTATATCATGCACAGAAGGGATTTTTTTAGTTCTGAAATTTTTATAATGATAGGTCAGGAATACCAAGACCTCATATTGGTATCTTTTTTTTAGTGGTCTTACTAGCCTGATCCTGCATTTCAGGCGTAGCCATGCCAGACCCTTCGAGCTGCATTTCTCATGGAATATAAGAAATAGTAATTTAAGAGAGATTGTGACTTCTCAATCCATTGAGCTGCATATATGTCTTAAAATAGCATCGCAACTGAACCCCGTCAGTACTTGGTTTTGAATTATTATTATTATTGTTATTACTGTATTATTGTTATTTTATTATTATTGTCACTGTTATTATTGTTATTATTGTTACTATTATTATTGTTATTATTGCTGCTATTATTATTATTATTATTATTATTATTATTATTATTGTTGTTGTTGTTGTTGTTGTTATTGTAATATGCAACTTTATTGCACTATGTAACAAATAAAAGAAATTAGAGATTAACGAGATGCGAGCAAAACGAAGCTGTAAAAGAGGGATGGGAATGTAACAGAAAGTAACTGACCTCAATTTTCACTTGTGTCTTCTTTTGGGTAGTACTCATCGGGGAAAGCCTTCAACGTCTGTAGTGCTTTTTTCCATAGCTGCTTGGTGCTGCTTCTCTAAATGTTATTTCCTGCTGGCAGAAATAATTTACATTCATTTTTGCTGAAACAAAGGTGCCATTTTCAGATTGCTCCCGAAGATTTGTTGCGATTGACAGTGGGCGATATCCCAGCGACCACATCCTACGATCAGGATTTCGATCATTTCGATTTCCCGCCACGTTCCATAGGCACTGGTGATACGTATGTCGAAGCCGCGTTGTCAATTTTTGAGGTCTGTCTGTGAATTTATTGAAATATTCCTTCCCTCTGGGCTCCATCTCCCCCCTGCCCCCCCTCCTCCCCCTCCCTTCCATCCGTTCCTTCTTTTCCCCCACCCCTCCTAAGGTCCTTTCAGTTAATTAGCATAAGTTTTGGTATTCTCATCAGTTTAAATTTTAACGTATAGTATCATTGAAATGATATCTGCAATGATAGGTTAAATAGCGATTAATTTGTCCGAAAGCTGCAGTGCAGTGTTGACCAAACATCGGACCCACTGTTTTGCTCTATTCACAAGGGATAACAGAACATGTCCTGTGTAATATTTACATTTTATCAATCATAGAGCGAGCGAGCATGTATTAATAACAAAACAACAGCTGTTAAAACAGTGTAGCGTATAGCTCCTTGTCTGTGTTTACGGCTAAGGGATAAAACATGGCACTGACGTATGACTTGTTGTTCGGTATATGCAATGCCCTGCATCCATTATCTCGGTTTTCGCAGTAGAAGAGTAGTGCTGGTCAACAGTACAATTTTGAAACACAACTGTTAACTGTGGAACTGCTAGGGGGGAATTGAACACAGTCGTATATTTCAGGATTTAGGTTTTATCCAGCGATTTCGTTTGCAACGGCATACATTAGCTCGTTTCTTGTTGATGGTCCAGAAGGGATACCGCGATGTGCCTTATCATAATTGGTCACATGCATTTGCTGTGGCACATTTTGCCTATTTGCTACTGAAAACAGATACTGCTCGTGGTGCATTGAATGAGCTCGAAAGTTTGGCACTTTATGTGGCAAGTTTGTGTCACGACATCGATCACCGTGGTACCACCAATGCATTCCAAGTACAGTCGGTCAGTTTCGTTTTGATTTTATCTTCGCGCTATGGCCATATATCGATTTTCAGAATCGGTTTTTCCTCCCCAAAATCGGTTTTTTTTTCCAGCCAAGTGCACAAAATGTAGTGCCAGTGTGTAAAGACGAAATATGTAAAATTTTAATAAATCAGCGAAACAGGGATGTTTTGATCTGCCAAGCCGCATACACTCCTATACAGCACCGCGACTGGACATGATCAATGCGACAGATGTGTTGTTGATTAATGGTGGCATTTCAGTGGTACTTAGCTGTATAATATTTTTATGCGTTTTTTGCAGCTGTGCAATGCAGAAAACGCATATTGACGAGAGGTTGTCTGTGT